TGTTCTCACTGCTACCTATCTCATAAAACATATGCCATCCAGGGTTCTAGGGTTTAAATCCCCCTTCAGTCTTCTTCATCCAGACAAGGATCTCTTCCCGATTCCTCTCCGTGTGTTTGGCTGCACCTGTTATGTTCACATTCCAAGTGCTCAGAGACATAAGTTTGAACCAAAAGCCCACAAATGCATCTTCCTTGGTTATTCCCCCACACAGAAAGGGTTACTGTTGTTTTGATCCAAAGACTGGCACTCGATATGTCTCAATGGATGTTACCTTTGATGAACTTTCTCCTTTTTATGGGTCTTCTCAGGAAGGACATTATCAACAGGGGGAGAGTTTGTCACAAGTGTTTGCTCTTCCTCTCCTGTCCCAATTGAGTCTCTTGATGAGCCTGTGTACTCAGCAAATGAATCAAGGGAGGACCAGTCACTTCATTCTTCTTGTCCTAGTGCTCCTATCTCTTTACCTCTTCGTCCTACCCACAATCCCAAGGTGTATCAAAGGCAAAGGTTCAGGAATGAGCAGGTTGTTTCCCTTAAAACAGATGAGCCTCATACACTTCCAATCACAGATGAGACAACAGGTGTTGTTTTAACCACTTTGGAACCATCTTTCCCGGATCTTGATGTTCCTATTGCTGTTAGGAAAGGAAAACGGAAGTGCACTGCACACTGCATTTCCAAATACCTTTCTTATGATCTACTTTCTCCTTCATACTTTGTCTATCTCTCTTCATTTGCTTCTAACCCTATTCCTAGGTCTGTGTCAGAAGCTCTTGAGATTCCAGAATGGAGAGATGCAATGAAATCTAAAATGGATGCCCTACACAAAAATGATACTTGGGAAGTGGTGGATTTTCCTGAAGGGAAGGATCCAGTTGGTTGCAAGTGGGTCTTTACCATTAAATACCAAGCTGATGGGACTATTGAGAGGTATAAGGCCAGACTGGTTGCCAAAGGCTACACACAGACGTATGGGATTGATTACCTAGAGACCTTTGCTCCTGTTGCTAAGATAACATCTGTGAGGGTTCTCTTATCTCTAGAAGCTCATTTTGATTGGCCCCTTTATCAGTTGGATGTAAAGAATGCATTTCTGAATGGTGACTTACATGAGGAGGTCTATATGTCTCTCCCTCCARGAATGTATGGAAGTGATATGCAAGGAAAGGTATGCAAATTGAAGAAATCTCTTTATGGCCTCAAACAGTCTCCTAGAGCATGGTTTGAGAAATTTAGAACACTTGTTAAATTTGGCTATACTCAGACATAGTCAGATCATACTCTTTTGGTGAAGAGAAGTGAATCTCTGGCAGTATATCTCATTGTGTATGTTGATGACATTGTTGTGACTGGTAATGATGCCTCAGGAATTCATTCTCTTAAGTCTTTCCTTCGTATAGAATTTGAGATTAAGGATCTGGGGGAGTTGAGATACTTCCTTGGCATAGAAGTTGCTAGATCCAAGGATGGGATTCTTATCTCCCAAAGGAAGTATGTCCTTGACTTATTCTCTGAAACTGGGAAGATAGGTGCTAGACCAGTTGCAACTCCTATTGATATGAGTCACAAACTTTCTGTTTCAGATGGGACATTGTTGGAAGACAAAGGGGTCTTTCAGAGACTTCTTGGGAAGCTCCTGTACCTGTGCATGACTCGGCCAGATATTGCATATGCTGTCAGTTGTATCAGTACATGCATGCCCCTCGAGATACTCATATGGCAGCTGCAGAATGAGTTTTGTGTTATTTGAAAGGCTCTCCAGGAAAAGGGATTTTGTTTACCAAGCATGGACATCTGAAACTTGAAGCCTATACTAATGCTGACTGGGCTGGAAATATTGATGACAGAAGATCTACTTCAGGGTATTGCAGTCTGGTGGCTAGTAATGTTGTCTCTTGGAGGAGCAAGAAACAATCAGTTGTGACCCGATCCTCAGCAGAAGCAGAATATAGGGCCATGGCACATAGAGTCTCTGAACTGTTGTGGCTAAGGTCATTGATGGAAGAACTCGGGATTGATTATGACAAGTCGATGATGTTGTACTGTGATAATCAGGCTGCCATCAACATTGCCCACAACCCCGTACAACWWGATAGAACTAAACATATTGAGGTTGATAGACACTTTATTCAAGAAAGAGTCTCTTCGGGTGAAGTGTGTCTTTCATTCATTACTTCTGAAGGACAATTGGCAAATTTCCTCACCAAGGGTATTCCCAAGGCAAGGCTTTAGCACGACACTAGCAAGTTGGGCATGATTAACATCTATGCTCATCTTGAGGGGGAGTGTAGAGAAGATGGGCCGAATGGCCCATAGGCTGTTATTCTATGTTATCTTTATGTTCTTCTCTGTAATGGGCTTTATTCTGGGCCCATACTCTTCTATGCTCTGTTTTTGTAATTTATTGTCCAACCAAGTACCTCTCTTGTAATTACTCAAAGATTAACTTAATAAAAGTGTATTAGAGTGTTAGAGGGAGGTTTAGTTCGAACCTCTCATTCTCTAACCCTCCTTGCCGCAGCTCTCTCTCTTTCTCTCTCTCTCATTCTCTAATCTTCTCTTGCTTGTTTTTCTGGTTTTCTTGCACAGTCCCATACTTCTAGGGCTGTTTTTCAACTATACTGAATTTCAATATCCTTGGTCAGCCACTTAAATTTTCTCTTTCCATTGTTGTAATTCCATATCCTAGAGTTATCCTCTTTTAACCAGTTCACCACAACTTCAAAGTCTCCTTCTATGATCAGCTTATTAAAATGCATATCCTTGACTCTTTGTACCCCTTCAAAAGCTGCGAGAATCTCAGCCCTCAAGGAATCTCCCTCCCCTATTGGTCCAGAATACATGGCTAACAGATTCCCTTGTTTATCTCTTATTGCTCCCCCTATACCGGATGGCCCTGGGTTGCCCATAAAGCTGCCATCAAAATTCAGTTTAATGAAGCCAAGAGGTGGAGGAATCCAACAAGAGATTGACGCCTTCTTAGCTGAAGCTAATTCTGCGATCTCCTTCCAGTTTCTTAGCATCTCATCGACTGAGAAATCTGCAAACAGTCCAACAAACTGCAGCCCTCATACATCTCCACATAATCTTGGCCCTTTTTGTTGGCCAACTCGGCATGGAACTGAACAAACTTTGCACATTCAAAGGGGGGTCCACCTGCACCCAAACAAAGAAGTACACCATTTCCAAATGACTTTAGTAAACTAGCAGGAGAATAGTAAATGGTGTCCAGACTCACCATCAGCTTTACAGAGAGCACACCAGTGAGGACACAAACAACTATTGGGTCATTTTCTTTGAAGTAAATTTCATGTATTAACTCTTTCCAAAAAGGCAACAGAAACTCCCAACCTTTGGAGGTATAGGAAGACACCACACCTCTTTAACAGGGAAGGACAAACCCAAAGAAGAAGGTTGTGTTAGGGCTTTAAAGAAAGAAGCACAAGTGAAAGAACCCGAGGGGGTGAGTGTCCAGATGATGGACAATTATAACCAAATTAGTTTTATGTGCACACTTCTTTGGAAAATCAACTTTTTTCTTTTCTTTTGTTTCCTTTTTTGTGATCTTCTATGGAGAAAAACATCTAATGTGGTACTTTTTTTTAACTCAAAGATGGTCCAAGAAGCTATATGTAAAAGGAGTGAAAGGATCATTGTCATACCCTCAGATCCTTTTAACTTGTTACAATTTGCGGCATATTGTGATACCATCTCCAATAGGCACCTACAATTTAGCTTAATGGTTATTCAAAAACTATAAAAGAAGTAAACATCCTAATGAAAAAAATAATGGGAAAATTTCAATAGAAAGATAAGGTTATACCATACTAATGTTGATGCGATTATCCTCCATTATATTTTTATTGAAATTTCTAATGCTGATTGTCTTTGGGTCATTTACCTGGTCAAAATAAAGCAATTGTGCACAAGTCCTTTTTCCAACAGTAAACCACCAAGATGATACACGTTGCTTACCAGTGGATCAGCAACTTTTCCATGCCACAGAACATTATCAACCACAATCATGCCACCAACCCTCACCTGCAGTAGGAAGTGATAAACAAAGGTATCTTTACCATCTGGTTATTCAAAACGGCATGGTACCTATGAACTAAATGAAATGAATGAAATGGAACAAACAATTCCAATAGCAATTGGCCAAAATAGCATAGTTTTATCTTACCAGTTGCAATAGTAACTCAAAATATTCATGGTATTTTCTTTTCTCAGCATCAAGAAATGCAAAATCATAGCTGCACAACAACAAGACAGAATGTTATAGCACAATCGAATGTTTTACAAAAGGATAATCAAAAAGTAATGTAAAAAATTAAAAAGAGTTGTAAAGAAAAGATTATTATATATGTAGACATCCAATTTGCACTTGCTAACCTTCTTTTAAGAAATCGAGTATGTTTCCTTTAAGGCTTTGATAACCTTTTCATACCTCCCAAGGGTAAAATGCAAAACAGGGTTACAAGCTTTCTAGGATCCCTAAAGGCAGATTAGGAATTTACCCAAACAATCATGCCGATCAGCTAATTGGACCAGACCAATCTGTACAGAAAGTCAATTGGCAGAAATTTCATGATTTTTCCAACCCTAGATCAATGGAATCAAAGGTTTTAGGGCTTAACCAATCCATGCACTCTGACCAACACCCCACTTATATGGAAAGATACACTAATAGTGTTAAAAATAACATGTACTAATAAAGTGAAAGAGGCACTAAATAAGATGAAAAGGGAAAAGACAATAGGACCTAATGATATTCCGATAGTAGTATGGAAAGGTATGAGGTAGGCTTATTATGTCTAGCAATTTAATAAGATAATAAAGAAAAGATAAAATTTTGATGTTATTGATAAAAGAAAGGATAATGAAAGAAAACATGTGTAATGAATGGAGAAAGAGTAGTATGGTGCCTATATTTAAGAACAAAGGCGATATACAATGTTGTAATAACTACCACGGGATTAAACTTGTACCTCTTTAGGCTCCTCCTCTTGTTCATCTTTCAAAGAGCAAGTTCATATTAATTAGCAGCTTGAAGGATACTTAAATGGGGCTGTTAATAAACCTGATGAATCAGACACTAAGGCATTTTCACAATCGAAACTTGATAACGGAAAAATTGTCTCTTGGATTCTCAGCTCTATTGTTTCTCACATTGCTATTCCTATGAGGAGAATGCAAACAACCTATGAAATGTATTCTTATTTGAAGGTCTATCATCAGCCCAATATGTCAAGACAGTACCAAATTGAGTCTGAAATATTTACCTATTGTCAGAGAGACAAAAAGATATAGGAATATTATGTGGGTTTTCTCGACTTGTGGGCAAAATATGAATTAGTTCACATTGAGCCATTTGATTCAGTAGAGTGTGTTAAGTATCTACATAAGCACTTTGAGAGGAGGAAAGTGAACCATTTCCTCATGAGACTGAGACCTGAATACAAGACGTCCAATATTCTGAGTAGGGGTACACTACCAGATTTAGATTCTATGATGGGAGAGTTTATGAGAGAGGAGACTAGACTTATGACTGCTGCAAATCTGGAAGGGGAGCAACTTGGATCTGGGGCTGAAGCAGTTTTTATTGCACAAGGGAGTAAGAAATTTGGTGGAAAGGACATGTCTAAAACCCAATGTTATGAATGCAAAGGTTTTGGACATATTGCTTCACACTGCAAGAAGAATGATTGCTCATACTATAAGCAACATAGTCATATCATTTCAGATTGTCCTGTTCATTCACGGGCTTACCAGGTATCTGAAGGACAGATGACTAATGCACACAATGTCAAAGGTAAATCTTTTGCTCCCATGAACAGGGAAGACATATGAAAACTAGTATCCTCTGTTATTTCATCTGCATTTTCTGATATTGGCTTATCTTGTGAGTTCTCTAGTTATTGTTCCCCGAACCATCAAATAAATCTCCGGAGATCCATCATAAGCATATTGTTATTGCCAATGGTGAAAAACTGAATATCATTGGGTGTAATGATTTGTGTTTGAAGCTCTCACCCTTGACTTCCCTTACCAAAACCTTCTTTGTTCCCAATTGGTTGATGAAGGTTACATTCTAACATTTTCTTTTGATGGTTGTTTGATTCAAGGCCGACGCACTGGGAAGGTGAAAAAAAAGGGGCATAGACTGGGCCACATGTTTGCATTGGAATTCGAGGGATCTCAATTAGCATTGGAATTCGAGGGATCTCTATGATGCTGAGCTGCGGCTTGTGCTGAGTCAGGTCCACGTGTCGTCGTTTTGTAGGTCGGGCCAAATCGTCCTCCATCAATTGCCCCCCACTCCTTGGGCTAAGAGTTTTACCTTAGCGCAAGGAGTTCATGAAGTATGATGGACTGATTTGACCGAAATTCAAACTTGATTGACTACTCACATTAAACGCATTCGCAGGAATCAGGAGATTTTCTGACTTCTCGGATTCCGAAAACGTGCTGCAGTGGCTCTTAACTCCRGATGTTGTGCAGCCGTCATTACTTCAATCATGGGAGACGCGCAGCCAATTGCCTTTCGGTTTTCAGAAGGCGTGCGGTCAGCGCACCTGCGAACCGTCGGATCTGCCTTAATCTGGGCCGTTGAATCGGAGGCGTGAAGGCTATAAATAGAAGGGCCCTCTGGGTCTCATTTTCCCTCATGCCATCTTGCTGTCTTCGGATTCTGAGGTCACGCATCTGTCAAGTCTACTCGAGTTCCTCAGTTCACTCCGTCCCGTCCCTTTCGGTGAGTCTCGATTACTATCAGTCATGTCTGGGTACATGTACTACACTCGTCATCGGGGCGGTGACCAGGATAATGATGCTCCCTCAAGCTCAAGGGGAGCTTGGGAACAGGCTCCGAGGGCTCGGGAGACCTCCGGTGACGGAGCCTCCACTTCCCGGGGAAGGAAGCCCGATACTTTCGGCTCTTCCTCCATGATAGAGGGGAGACTTAGGTCTCTAATTAGCTATTTCCACCTTCTCAGGGACCTCATGTACTGTCTTCCCACCGGTAACTTTCCGTGGGAGCATGGTCCTAATGAGATAGTCATCTACCAAGAGCAGCTCGAGGCTGGCCTGCGTCTCCCCTTGCACCCCTTGATAGTGGAGGTGCTAAACCACTTTAACGTCACCATCGATCMGCTTCATCCCAACGCCATTCGGAACATGGTTGGGACTATATCCTTGTGTTATGAATATTGTCTTCCCTTGAACCTCGACATTTTTTCTGCTATCCTTTGTATAAAGAATGCCACTCCCAGGGCTCCACCGGAGAGGCGTTTCTACTACTTCTCTCCCTGTCGTGGCTATAAGCTCTTATACGAGCTTCCGAATAAAATTCCCGCCTAGAAACGGGATTATTTTATGGTTCGCAACCGTGAGGGGTGGCCCTTCCCTAGTTCTTGGGGAGGCGCCATCCATGACTCCGGGGTCGAGCTAGACCCCGATACTCAAAAAACGATGCTGTTCTGGGCATCAGTTGGCTTCCTCTGTTCGGATTACTTAACCAAGGAGAAGCTCGTGCAGGCCGGCCTAAGCCTGGGTAGGTTGCCTCTTTAGGTCGCGTAGTACCTTGTCACAGTGTTGTATATACGCGTACTTTGTTTTCACCGAACTGACATTTTACGTTTTCTTCTTGGCAGCCATCATGTCAGGTGTTGATTCGCGCCGCTTTCTGTCAAGCAACCAGAGGCACAAAGTAAAGAGGTCGCGCCCCGACCAGACTCCCCCCTCCGGAGGTACTGAGTTTGGTCTGCCGAGGCAGGTTTCACCTCTCCGTCGCTTGAAGTCCCGCCGCCTCCATCCGAAGGGGGTGCCGGCGGGGCCAACCTCGAGGAGGGCGAGCTCCCGCAGCAAGAGGTACCCCCTCCGGGTTCCTCTCGGTCGTTTCCCAATCTGTGGCTCCCAGTGGGGAACTGGGAGGGCGTAAACGACTTCGTCGTGGCTCGCAGGAGGAGCCGAAGAGCTATCTGCAACGAGGAGGTCGCTAAGTGGGGGGCGATGGAGCCTGGGGATCTTGTCGCGCTCGCTGCTTCTCACTGTATGGTGGTAAGTGGCCCTTCTATCTTCCGTTGCCCTCCTTTCCTTTTTGTTGTCTTTTGACTCCTGTCTCTTGTTGGCAGGTAAACACCGCCATACACGCCATGGCCCTCCAGACGCACGTCCATTCCTGCGACGCTCATAACCAGAAGGTCAACCTTCAGAAGCTTCAGGGTGAGCTCGACCGGACTCGGGGCGAGCTCCTTCACACTCGTAAGGGGAGCGAGTCCCAAGAGCTGCTCGTTCGAGACCAAAAGGCACAGATCGCCAGGCTTTCTGATGAGAGCGAGCGTTACAGGGAGGAGTCGTCAAGGGTGGCAGTGGAGAGGGAGCTCCTTCGCCAATAGGTTCGAGATTTGGAGTCCACTCTGTTGGATCGAACTCGGAACTTTGACAACATAGTGGAGGCAGAGTGAGAGAAGGCGGTCTGAGACTTCAAAGATTCCCAGGAATATCATGACCTCCAGGTAGAATATGGCTCGAGTTCGTACCGCTCTGGGTTTAAGCTCTGCAGGTGGTTGATCCAGAAGAAATTCTTCGGGCTCAACCTCGATAGCATCACCATGAAAGGTCTGTCTCCCGAGACGGCGGACCAGGCGGAGGAAGAGGAGCCTGACTCTCCGGAGGACGAGGATGAGGAGGCGGATCTCTGAGGCTTTGGTGACGTTTTTCTGGACTTTTGGTGGCTCCCGGGTGCCATAAACCCGATCTTGAAAAGATCCTTTGTTGGGCGGTTGTGCCCTTTCACTGTCAGACTTTTCCCAAGCTGTTTAGCTCGGTTATTGCTTTGTCATTCACTATTTTTCTTTCTTCCCCCCTCCCCCCTTTATTTTTAAATGGTAATGAAATTTCTTCTTTTTCTTCCAAGTATGATGTGCTCTCTTTATTTTTGCTAAGGCGATCTCAACACCCAAGCTATTAGAGCTACATACCCGAAGTAGGACTTCTCGATTGTCGTTATCTCGAACTGTCCCTTAATCATTTAAGGCATCTCTATGGTGCACGGCGAAGTGATTACCATGTGCATCTGACCCATACAGTTGTCGGTTATTCCTTAGTTCAACCAATGCATTGAGGCGAGCTATGTTTCGTGGGGTTTAAATCCGAGCTGTTTACGCCTCTGATATTTCATACTTTGACTTCATCACTGAAGTGGCTAAGTCTTTCTTGATGCCGAGGTCCTAGTTAGCTCGGTGTTTTAGCC